TTAAGAAAAGCAGTTTCCTTCTTGGCACAATGCTTACAATCTTCCACGCATGGGCGTCTCGATAATGCATCTGCGTTGCCATGAATTCTTCCGCCGCGATGTTCGATTTCAAAGTCAAATTCCTGAAGTTGTTCCAACCATCTGGCTACTTGGCCTTCGGGATCCTTAAACTGAAGCAGCCATTTCAAAGCAGCGTGATCAGTTCTGATCAAAAATTTCCGTCCCAGTAAATACTTCTTGAAATGGTGCAGAGTTTTGACTACGGCCAGCAATTCCCTCCTGGTCACGCAATAATTCTTCTCCGGCTTGGATAGTGACTTGCTGAAGTAAGCAATAACCTTCTCCTGCTCACCATCGCGTTGTGAAAGGACACCTCCTATTCCAATATTGCTGGCATCCGTATCAACTACGAATATTCCTTTCGCGCTGGGGTATCCGAGAATTGGTGTGTTACAAAGCCGTTCTTTTAGTTCTCGAAAGGCTTGCTCACAATCCTCGTCCCAGATAAAGGCACGTTTCTCCTCTGTCAATCGATGCAAAGGCTTGGCAATGTCCGAGAATCCTTTCACAAACCGCCGATAATACGAGCACAATCCAAGAAATGCCCGAACTTGCGTTTTGTCTTTAGGTGTTGGCCATTCCTTAACAGCGGCAGTCTTGGCTGGATCAGTCTCAATTCCTCTCTCAGAAATAACATGTCCTAGATAATTCACTTCGCGCTTGAAGAAAGAGCATTTCTTTGGACTCAACTTTAAATTTGCTCCACGCAGCTTATCGAGTACCTTTTCCAATTTCCTTAGATGATCGTCAAAATCCCGTCCAACAATGATGATGTCATCGAGGTAAACTAGGCAGGTTTCGCCCAGCAGTCCCGCCAGCACCTGTTCCATCAAACGCTCAAAGGTTGCCGGTGCATTGCATAATCCAAATGGCATCACCTTAAATTGCCAGAGTCCCTTCCCAGTTGAGAATGCGGTCTTTTCCTTGTCCTTGGGATCCAAATCCACCTGCCAATAGCCGCTTTTCAGATCGAGCGTTGAAAACCATTTCATGCCACTCAGTGTGTCAAGTGTGTCATCGATTCTTGGTAACGGGTAGCTATCCTTCTTGGTTACATCATTCAATCGTCGATAGTCTACGCAAAACCTCGTTGAACCATCTTTCTTCTTGACAAGCACGACAGGTGAACACCAAGGGCTAGAAGAGGGCTCTATCACGTCATTTTTCCTCATATCGTCAATCATTTCTTCAACCTCTTTCTCACGAGCGAATGGTATGCGTCTGGGCCTTTGACGAATTGGCATTGTATCACCTGTGTTTATTTTATGCTTCACTAAACCAGTTCGGCCAATATCACCATCGCTTCTTGAAAACACATCAGAGAATCGAAGAAGTAAATTTCTAGCTTTCATAGTCTCCACTTTTGTCAGACTTTTGTTTTCGTCTAAGATTTTCGTTACAAAGTCTATTCCCGTACTGTCCTTCTTCACAAGATTCTCCGAGCATTTTCTTATCCAGGCCACTTCTTCCAATACGCCCACAGGCTCTCCTTCTTCAATCGTAATTTTTGAATCACTGAAGTTGAATACCGGAATGCGGTTGACATCAGATGACCCCACGACAGTTCTCGCCGGTAGCCATGAGTTTACGTGTTCCGATTTATCAATCACAGCGCACCTTAGAGGTAAACTTCCTTCCCTCCTCCTAGGTAATGCGATTGGTACGAGAGTCTGTGATTTTGGTTCAAGAACAGTTCTTCTTAAACAGCAAACTTTTCCCAGGGTTCCACCCTTCATCGGAATTTCTTCAGTTCCACATAGTAATACTCCAGATTTTAAGTCGATGTTACACTGTTGCCCTTGCAGGAAGTCAAGTCCCAGGATGCAGTCATCCAGAATTTTGGCCACAATAACCTCATGTCGATAAACACGTTCCCCAATTTTGATTGTTACATGCAGTTTTCCACTTATCGGTATGCACTGGCCGGTAGCTGATTTCATTCGTAGGCCAACAATTGGTTTAACGTGTTTCCTGATGTTTTGCCCGAGCAGCCGAACATTTATCACCGTCCTTGAAGCTCCAGTATCTAATGTTAGCTGACTGTTTTTCCCATTCACTTGACCGTCTATCACCAGAGTATTTCCATCGCTAGTTTGCTTGATGTAGATTGTTGGGGTTATTCCACTACCGGCCAGCGCCCACCCCGCAGCCCTGGCTGGATTTAGTTTCCCTGCTGGTCAGAAGTTGAGACCGCCGCGTCCTGGCGGTTCACCTTCTTCGGGCAGTCGCTCCGCATGTGCCCACGCTCTCCGCATCCATAGCACATGAAGTTCCGACGGCGTGGAGGTACCTGCTCCGTTGTCGTCATTTCCCGCAGACGTAAGGTACGGGAGTTACCACGCACGGCTTCCACTTCCAATGCATGGGCCAGAGCTTCTTTCATGTTCTTGTGATGACCCAGATGAACAGCAGCTCGTACTTCGGGGTCCCGAACACCGTCAATGAATGCTTGGAGAAGCGTGCCTTCAATCATTGATGGAGTCGACCGAAAAGCTCGACGCACAAGTTTCTCGATTTCCACGGACCATTGCTGTAGACTCTCATTAGCACGCTGAGTACGCTCTTTTAATTGCGCTCTGTACACGTGCTCGAGGTGGCTGTCTCCAAAACGTGCCTCAAGTGCGTCGAGGAGGGTACTAAAGCTGAGATCCCCACTTGCGCCGATAGCTTCCAGCACTGAGAGCGCTTGATCACGGAGGGCCAGGGTGAGGGCTGACTGTGCTTCCTTCTGAGTCCAACCATAAGCCTCCATAAGTGTCTCAAACTGTAGCTTGAACGCGGTCCAGGATGTTGTTCCGTCGTAATGGGGAATCTTGAGCCCTTTCGTTGCGCTTGAGGCCACATTTGGGGCGTCAAAAACGGCTGCAAGACGGCTTCGGCTCTTCAAAGGGCTTGGGCTTGTCATTTCCTGCTTGATTTTGGAGATCTCTTCTTCCACTCTCTCCTCTATGGCCATGACGCGATGTTCCAACTTGCCTAACCCTTCCTCCACTTCCTGTACCCGTTCGACAGCCTTTTGCAGTCCCTTCGTGAAATCCTTATGCATCTCTTTCAGCTCCCGTAGCTGCTCCGCCTGACAGTGTCCTTGCTCCCGTAGCTGTTCTGCCTGACAGCGTGCTTGCTCCTCTTGGCGGCGCGCTTGCTCTTCTTGGCGGCGCGCTTGCTCTTCTTGGCGGCGCGCTTGCTCTTCTTTCAGCTCCCGCAGCTGTTCTGCCTGACAGCGCGCTTGCTCTTCTTGGCGGCGCGCTTGCTCTTCTTGGCGGCGCGCTTGCTCTTCTTGGCGGCGCGCTTGCTCTGCCATCATTTGCTGCAGCCGTAGCAGAAGATCCACCTGCACAGGCTTGGCTTCTGCATCGCTGGTTTGAGCTGCAGCACCCTCTTCCCTCACACGCTGCGCTTCTGACATTGAACGGGTACTCACTCCTCTTACGTCCTGCGGCACTAGCGGCATTTTTCTCCAATCCCACTTCTGACACCAAATTTTACGTGCCTGACGTCACGTTCCTGACTATGCGGGCTTGGGTTACGGGATTGGATGAAATGAAACACTAATACCGGTTTTCAGACTTTCTATTGCACTTAAGTTACAGCGTCCACGGAGTTAAGTTATCGGCGTTCCTCTCCAGCAGAGTCCGGCCGACTGACACAACTTCGCCGTTCACGCTGACTTAACTCACTTAACTGACTGCACTTCACTATTTCACTGCACTTCACTATTTCACTCACTTTTCTTCTTTCTCACTTCTTCCTTTTCTTCCGAATCGCTTTAGACTTAGAACTCAACTGCCAGCGGTGAGCCGCAGTTCCGCTTATATACCCCCGGTCAGGTTCTAGAACATTCAATTTCGTTATTTTTTTTGATCGTCATGCCTCCAGAATCTTCCAATAATTTCGTTATTCATTTTTATTTATTCTTCTTCTCGCTCCTTAATTTTTCATCACTTTCACTCAAATATTCCAGAAAGTTCGACAAAACTTCCATCAACTAAAAAACTTCATGTTTACGGCGGGACTCGAACTCGGGGTCTCTGTGGTGTAATCCACACGCCTTACCGATTACACCAACTCGTGTTGACAATTCACGACGAAATTTACAATCTCTAGGCAACGTTTGACAACCATCCGTTGACGTCATGATGTCAAAGAGTTTTCTGTCACAGTATCATAAAAGTTGACGATTTCTGGCTGTGTTAATTTTAGTTATACCTACTATACACAACAAATAAAATAAAGCTTCAATAAGTACAAAGGTTTTATTGCGTTCCCTTTTGCTGGTTTAGTTTTTTATATGTATTGTCTTTAGACTCGGAACTAAAGATTAGAAGTCTACTTACTTTACTTAGTTCCTGATTAGCGCATTCTAGCAAACAAACAAACAAACTCTTCAGCATTATAATTAGTATAGATATATCTTAGTAGGATATGCTGTTTTCAAACCACCTTTGTCATAAATATATCTCTTCAAAGTGAATTGAGCAAACTATGCTCTGGCTAGATGGTTTCCAAAATTAATCTAACCGTGCCCTTTGTATGATTTGTATTTATTTTTTTGTCAGGGAAACTAATTTGACATAGGCTCCATAATGGACAAAAATATAACCCCCCAACAAATAAATAAGTGGGTAAAATTTTCACCAAAAATGACAACACTCACAAAATGGCCGCATCATTTTCATAGAAAAATAAATCGATAAAAAAAATCAATAATTAATTAAATATACTATTGCAGTCGATGCTTGCAGATGAAATGTAATCTTATCCACTTTTTTCGTAATTCCAGTCGCATTTTTACTCGTAGTAATAACACAAGACGGCATAATGAAATTAAAATTGATACTCGTAAATACGTCACGACATGCCACGTGCCAAAATTGACTAATCGTAGAAATTTCATACTATTCTAGTTGAGAATGGTTTTAGTTGCTTAAGTTTGAAGCGCGATGACGCCGTCTGGTTTGTTCTGTATTCTGAGCTGGTAAGCTGTGGTGTTAAAATATTCAATTTAACTTAATTGAGAATTAGCTGCTACGTACTGTTTCTCTGTCTCTTTGCCATAAAGTCAAAGTATATTTTTTAATTACTCATTATTTTCCCCATTTGAAACAATAATTTTAAAGAAGGTTCTAATGATTAAGGTTTTAAGTGAAGATTTGACACACACAACGCTGTGGTTATTTCACCGGCGTGAAATAACCACAGCGTTGTGTTTCGCCGTGTGAGTGAGATTACCGGAGGCCCAATCCTTCCCCTCCCCCAATCCCTCCTAAATCCCTAAATCTCCAAATCCCTAATCCCTAAAAGGTCGGCAACGCACTCGTAACTCCTCCGTTGCGAGTGTCCATGGGCGGCGCTGATTGCTTACCATCAGGTAATCCGTCTGCTTGTTTGCCGACCTATTATAAAATATAAATAAAAAAAAAAATTGAGTAAAACGAGAAAACGTTAGCGAATCCATTAATTTGTCAGTAATAAAAAATCTAACCTTTTAGACTGCTTCGACATATGAGAGAACGATACCATTTGTTATAAAGAACGATGGCTCTGCAACGTTCTTCTTTGAATGGAGTTATAACGTGACGTATGTGAAGAAGTACATGCAACTGAGCATAGAGCCGAAGTGTGGACATGTCACACCAGGCAAAGAAATTGAATGTACCCTGTATTTCACCATCAAGCAAATTCCCGTGCAATCATTCCCTGTTACCTTATCTGTGCGTATATTATCTTACTTATAATGTGGTACTGTTGTGGTGAGAGTAACTATCGAGACAACAAGGTTGTATTTAGGTCTTCGTTGTAGTGTTATTGTTGGAATTTGTTTTTGCTATGTAGACTTGAGTCTATTACAATCTAAATTGCAATAATGCCATTTACTACTTAGGTACTAACCTTTTAATAATTTTCCGGTAATTCGTTTCTATTTAGATTTCCGACGGCCCTGAGTATAAAATATTTATCCACGCGGAGATAGAAAAACCTCTATATCATTTCTCTTGCATGGACTTTAATTTTTCAAAGTGTTTTATCAATGCACCTGATTTTACGTACAGGAAGAATATTGCGTTGATTAATGATGACAAAGTTCCGATTATGTAAGAACACTTAATTGTTTTAATTCATCATCTTGATTTAGTTCAACAGCAAAACCTGCTTTCTTTCAAATTATTAATATATGTACCCGAATATTGTTTCATTTCAAATAATTTGAATAGTTCAATATTATCGTTTTCAGCGTTGCCTTAAATTTTACAAATATACCAGAGTTGGTGGTTGAGTATGATGACGTTTCAAGTATCAAACCGGGAAAACGGTTAAAAATTGCTATAGACTTCCGACCGAAGCAGGTCAAGGAATATGTATTTACCTTGCAATTTTTTGTGAACTCCCTTTGCGAAGAAATTGTCACCATAAGAGGGGAAGGTATATCTTATTTTACTTATACTGATAGTGGTACATGCTCTGTGTATACAGAAGAAATACAGGGGAAAAAAGAAGGCCACCATTTATTAGGAGCCTTACGTACTTCTTCGATAGCTTTAATGCGGCTAGTCAAATTCGTCTTCATAGGAGTTGAGAGTACCTACTCCTAGATTAAATTATGGGGTTGTTTTTGGTTTGTTAAAGTAAATCTTATACAATTTAAATAAATATAGTTGTGGACTGTGTCTGCAGGCATCCCTCTCCTATTCGATCTCTATGAAGGCTGCCAAAAGAGTTTCGATTTGGGCTACGTGAAGGTGGGCGAGAAATTAGTTCGCACTATAGAAGTGATGAACCACAGCAAAGTAGCGATCGAAGCTTCGTATATATTCAGAGAAATGTATCCAGAAGTCGATGACTCGGCTAAGTCTGACACTACAAGTGTTTGCTTGAGTCCTGGGACGGCTATGCTGCAACATGACGCTGGTCCTTCAAGGTAAAATCATAAGACTAACAAGTTGAATTCCTAATCTTACAGTAGGCCCAATCCTTCCCCTCCCCCAATCCAAATCCCTAATTTACAAAAGGCCGGCATCGCACTCGTAACTCCTTCGTTGTTGCGGTTGTCCATAGGGAGGCTGATTGCTTTACATCAGGTAATCCGTTAGCTGGTTCGTCGACCTACCACAAAAAAAAGACATTATGTTGGCAATTGTGAATGACAATGAGTGCTACCGAGTTATATCTATTTATGGAAATAAACGATATAGTGCTTTCACACATTTCTAAATGGTTTCTTATTAAAAACACTTTTATAGCCAATAGATGTATACCTTCTTAGTTCTTACATACATTTTGACGACTCCTCAGAGTGCAGATGTTACAAACGTATGAAAATGACAAGGTCCGCAACCAAATTGCTAAGGACATACAGAATGCATTATCTTCCTTGAAAGTAATACCAAACAAGTGCACCATTCTTCCGTATAAGAAAGTTCCCTTGAAGATACAGTTCAAACCAGTCGGAATGATAAGTACACTCAATGTTCAGGTACTGTATCACTCAAGGAGTCTCTTTATAGATCAATATTTAGTTGGTTGTTTTTGGTCGTTGTTTTGGCTGTGTAGTGAAAGAAGATCAAATATAATGTAGCCTATAATATATAAGAGAGCCTATATAATATTTTTTATCGTTTTAGCTAAATATGAAAGTATTCCAATTCGAGCGTCCTTTGGTTCGTCTCAGCGGCTGTGCCACGGGCATGAGTTTCTGCTTTAGCCAGAACTCGTTACAATTTGGTCGCGTACGCAAACGTGGATGCAAGATACTCAAAGTGATGCTTCAGAATAAAGGCGATTTTGGAGCCAGGTACTTTAGACAAGAGCACTACGTACTAATTGGCGTGTTATTTATAATATCCAAGTTCAATAATGTGAATATACCTACCTACGTTCTCCCGGACCTGTGTAGGATTATTGAAAATCCTCAAAACATTATCAACAACCAATCAGATAACTTGACAAGAGATTTGACACCTAGTTAGTTGATTTTAACATTGGCTGCCGGGCTTTCGGAAACCGGGCATTAATCTAATATAATGATAATAAGCTTTTCTTAAAACCTGTCTCTGTATAGGTTCTGGTGGCAGCCTCTGATCTCGAACGAGTTCACAATATCCCCACAGTATGGAACGATAGCTGCTCACACCAACGTTACCTTCACCATAACATTCAGACCAGTCAATCATAATCCTTTCATTAAAGTATGGGTACGTATTCCACAAATCGAATTATATGTACAAAAATTGATATATTGAGCTTAAATTGCTTGCTAGTTGCAAAAAGGAAACGTTGTGTAAGCAAGTAAGATTTTCTTTTGACAAAAAACCACCCCATTTCTTCTCCTGCTCTCGGCCGGAGCTGCGGTAGATACCTACATTATTGCGGTTGCACCCAAAACGCTGGGGGCAACTAAGTTAGCGATTTGATGTTGATATTTATGAAGTAAGAGTTACTCATATGGATTAACTAAACAGCCGACGCAGCGGTCGAAACTTTGATCAACTAAATTTAGTATTAAGTACAATCCCAGAGATAGGAGAAATATTATTGGACTTTCGACTTTTAAAATTTTCAGTCACACGTAGCATGGTGTATGAAATCGTGTTGTACCCACATTACAGGCAAGTTGCAACATAGAAAACTACAAGCCGCTGGAATTGGCGCTGTACGCGACATGCGTGGACCTGGGTAACGTACAAAACAAGACCCTGAACATGGAGTGCCCCGTGCGCGAGATTCACACAGACTATGTCGTCGTTACTAACCCGTAAGTTTATTGATCCATAGAGAATGTAAATATAGTTTTTAATATTTGCCAGTATTTTGAAATATTCAATTGCCGTGAAATTTTCATATGTATCTATCATATAAAAGTTTTTTTTGCAGTTTATTAGATACCTGTATACTTTTCTTTTATAAACTACTTACACTTTCATTGTACGGGATAGGTCGGCAACCGAGCAGACGGATTACCTGATGGTAAGTAACTAAAAGTGCCTTGCTGGCCTCTTGTGGGTTAGATACTAGGGATAGGGCATTTGAGAATTGACGATAGGGGGAATAGGCCTTCGGTAGCCTCACTCACACGGTGAATCACAAGGTATGTGTTCTTTCACGCCGGTATCAACCCGATTCGTAGATAGAGGAGTACCTATTAAATAATGTAGTTGTGTATTTTCATCGAGATACGCCTTGTTACTAGGACTGATGATTTATGGTTCGTTCTGTCTGAAACATCTGGCGGGCCATTCGAAACTTGGAAAGAGTTTCACGTCGAACCCAATTCCACCCAGGAAATACCAATCAGTTTCAAGCCGAAGACTCTTGGTAAACATGAGGTAACATTGCTTCTTTATCTCCTTCTTCTTCTTCTTATATTAACGAGCTTTGCTCAGTGGTTTCTTTTTTACACTGGCTGAAAATATAGATTACCTACCTACTAGGTACCTAATAGCTATAAAAGTTGTATAGCTCCATCCCTCTTTCTCGCTCGGAAGATTGACGCTTTAACACATCATGGTAGGCCCTCTCTATATAATCTGAATCTGGGAAACCGCTCCAACAGTTTCCATATAATTTAGTAGAGGTTTGAGTGATAAATCGATCTACCTAGTAGGTAGGTAATCTACATTTTCAGTAAGTGTGTCGCCCAGAAGATTCACGCTTTAACACGCCATGGTATACAGGTAGATACATTTATATACAAAAATTGCTGATTTTTTATTGTTTTTTTTTTGTACATAGGTTACTTGCAATATGTTAGTTCCAGATCATCAGATCATAATTTTTGATTAAACTGCTACAAGTTCTATTTCTACTATTTCATACGATCTTCAGTCTTCAGACTTCGTCACAGAAGGGATATTATAGGTTCTTACCAATGTGTTTTAATTTACCTATCTATTTAATGCTTAAGTATGCTTTTTTAGAGCCAAGTGTTATATTCACCTCTTGGGGAAAACGCACTATTCGTCACATTAATTGGAAATGCCCTGGATCCTAATCCAAATGGTACCATCAACGTAAAAGTGCCAGCCAAGGAACTGCTAGTTAAATTATTGTTGGTGTACAACATAACCGAGGTGAGATTTTAATGCTTAGTAGTGCTTTTCATCCACAAGTGCTTTTCTATACAAAACGCTTTAAATGTTTACTTTCATTTAGGTCTTTGAAAGCAAAATCTTGTTGCCATTCGTAAAGTAATTAAGCAAATTATAGATCTTAGTCAGCCAGGGTTGCGGGGTAAGCGCAATAACTGCAATAAGGTACCGCGACCTAAGGCAAAAGCAGGCGAAGGAACTGGGTGGGGGTTCAGTGGTAGTCTGACTTCTCCGTAAGAGCGAGAGAAGTCATTTGATGATGATTTTCCCCTCAAATAAGTTACCCTTGGTAGATTAAAAGGAAGTGGAACAATTTTTTATTTTCTTAAGATAGAGATAATAACAGATGCCTAACGCAATAAAGGTAAAATAATTAGGTACTTTTTAGAAGGATACAAATTGAATTATTGAATTTAATTATTTCTAGTTCCCCGAAACGTATGTAGCGTCGACGGAGCTAGTGAAAGTTATACCTGATAAATTTGGAGGGCACTACGAAATAAAATGTGCAGAAACTATAAAAACATGGGGGGAGGCGGCTGCGACCTGTCGCTGGACCTTTGTATGTTATGAAGAATGCGAAATGACGCTGAAAGTGTGTATTTACATATTTAATTACTACATATCTTATTGCTAGGTATAGAATACGCCTGAAATAGACATAAAATTGGCCTCTCATAGTTTCGTATGCGCTACTGTCAAACTAGTGGTATTAAAATAAATTTTCTGTTTCCATTAATTTTACTGGATAGATGGGAGGTTCGGATTTTAATAATGGATTTAATTTGGTCAAAGGATTCTTAGCGCAACTTTTACTCCTTGGTAAAGGGTACCTATTCACTTTATCGTGGGTAAGTAAGTAGGTACAAACTACAAAGCAATGTGTTGAGCGATTAGACACCCTAAGAACCAATTTTATTTTAGGTGGTATTCGTAAACCAGGCAAGTCGGGAATATCAATTCTACATCATCAACGTGTTAGTTACTGAGAGCCTCATAGTGGACACGTTGAAGTTTGTCTGCCGCGCCCGAGAGATGGCGCAGAATGAACTCGTTATTAAAAACCCGCTCGCCGAAGACGCAGAATTCACTGTTCACTGTGAGAAACTACAATGTCCCGATACTTTGAAGATTAATAGAAATTCTGAGGTAACCGTGGCTTTTTAATGTTAGTGCCTATTTGCCTTATATACCTAAGTGACTATAAGAGTCTGGACTGGTAAAGTACACTTGCTCCTTATAAGCTGCTGCACTACGAAACTGATGACATGATTTTTTTGTGACGGGGCTATATATCAGTTTTTTCGTACTGTAGGGGCACACGGCTACGCGTCACTTGCTACGAAACAGTGTAGTATGGTTTCCCTAGCGGTTTCGGTAAATTCGACGGTTATTTTATGCTTAATCACAGCTTCAAGTATTGGCTACACTTGAAGCACGAACCATGTACCAACCAACCTAACATTATGCATTTTCATTATAATTATATTTTTTAGGCTGTGTTATCAATGACATATTCACCATTAGTAGTTGGTGAATTAGAGGATTACTTGAAGGTCTCTAATTTCATAGTTGGCACTTACGTTTACAAAACGATTTTGAAATGTCTGCCTGCAAAGGAGAAAAATCTAGAATATGAAACTTCCCTAGGAACTAACATTCCTATACGTCTCAAAGTGCAGAACAGAAGTGATGTGAAAACTGAATTCTTTTGCAAGGTAATTTTCTTCTGTGCCATGTCATAACAGTCAGTACACAGTAAAATACTTAATTAGAAGCTTATCTATTAATAATACTTGCTACGCCCGTAGCCCATCAATTGTATCCTTACTACGCCCGTAGCACATTTGGTAGTCTGCTACGATCGTAGAGGTTTATCGTAGTCCTCATTACGCTCGTAGCACACAAAATGTGCTACGCCCGTAGCCCTTCAAATTGGATAGTTTCCTAGGTCAAAATAAATTTATTCGACGTTTCAATACAATAAAGTATTGAAAAATAACTATACTTTTATTCATCTATCGATCGATACACTACATTTTAGATATTTTTTAGCTACTTATTAAGAACTAAGTAAGCTATTTCACGCCAAAATACTATAACGTCATAACTCACCTTTTCATACAAATTTCATAGAAAAGTATCGTTTTCGACATTTGGGTAAAAGTATTGAATTTGACTAGTTGGAAACTACCGTATTGTATCCTTAGTACGCCCGTAGCACATTTGGTAGTCTGCTACGTGCGTAGAGGTTTATCGTAGTCCTCATTACGCTCGTAGCACACAAAGTGTAGTCCATGCTACGATTGCACGGTTGTCTCGATGGCTGGTCAACCGGCTACTGCGCGTTTCTAAAGTTCGAATCTCCCACTGAACAACTCTGTGTGATTCACAAATATTTGTTTTGATTCTGGATTTTGTGGGTGTAAATAAATGCACCCTCGGAATAAATCCACCAAGCGCAGATAGCACCGGTCATTCCATACGCATATTTTTTTGTATAGGTACATACCTAAATAAGTAGTATCTATGCTAACGCGTCATCGACGACCCTGAATGTTCAAAATTTTTCAGGTATCCCACCCGTCTATACAAGCGGAAAGGGAGTACACTCTCGGACCCCTAGAGAAGGGCAAGTTTTTAGTGTGGTTCGAACCTACAGAGCTCGGCGTGCAGCATTGTAGAATTTCATTCGATTCCGATGTTGCTGGAGAATTTATGTAAGTTTAAAACAAAGTACAGAAATACTTTTTGTACTTAAGTAGGTACGTACTGCGAGTGATTGGTCAAGTGGTCCAAAGTGACTGATGTATTCGATTTTCGAAAAAAACTCGGTTTTAAAACGGCGTCTGAAATTGTTGTCGGTTAAATAACGTCACTACATTTTAGAGTTAGCAGATTTACAAAAATAGGTAACTTTTTCGTCAACTTTCACTTTGAAAAGGCGCATGTAGGTATATACATTAAGTACATATTGATGTAAATGATAAATCTTTACTAATATTACAAAGCTGTAGAGTTTGTTTGTTTAAACGCGCTCTCTGGTTCGAAATGAACAATTATTTTTGTGTTCCTTAGTCTATTTATCGAGGAAGGCTATAAAACATCACGCAGAAACATCATCAGAAGCCGAGCAGCGGATGAAACCGCGGGACTATAGCTAGTGGTTGATATAATTATATCTCAACATTAAAAACCAAACCAAAATATATATAATGGAGACTAGATTTAAATAATGCATCTCACTTAGAGTACTTATCTTTACAGATTCAACATTAAAGGAACTGGCACTGACCCGAAGCCCAGTGGTCCATATGAAATAAAAGCCGGCTCATCCACAATTATAAAGTTCAAAAACATTTTCGATGATACGAGAATGTTTAAAATATATGTCGACAGAGACGAATTTTATGTGAAAACTTTGTATGAACCGATTAGACCTAAAAAGGTAAAGCAACTTTTTATTAGGTTTTATAATCCTTTACTGAAAGTGGTAGATTTATGTTTCATTTAAATTCAAAGCAAGTAAGCTTTGTTTTTAATACAGACATTATGATTCGGCAGGAAATGAAGATACAGGTGTCCTTAAATGACAGGCCGGTATCAGGATGGTCAGTAATACCTACTGGTACACTCACCATCGAGAATTGTGAGCCGCCAACTCCTAAGGTGCACTGGACATACTTCCTGCAAGGCATACCTTGATGCGAGTGATGACAACATTGTTTTCTGTCTCTTATTTTATTGGATTTTTGTTTATTATTACATTTAATTACTATGGTCTAATAATATACACAGGTTTAATTATACATTATTTTATTAACGTGATTCATTTACCAATCACTCACACTGAATTCTTGTACAATATCACCTTTATCTTCTACTGGTGCTTCGTCCATTTCAATGGCCTTCTTCTTAGCGGGCTTCTTCTTTTCTTTCTTTTTCAGTTTTTTCGCCTTAGGAGCGGGTGTGTCATCATCTTTTTCTGTCTTAAAGTGGTCGCCCTCATCCTCGTCATCAGACGGGAACAACTCCACAGGACCCTTATTTTCTTTTTGGGTGTTTTGAATTGCTTCATCAGAAAGTTTGGGTCTCTTTATCTTAGGCAGCTCACCAGCAATTTCATCATTCTTAGTAATCTTCTTACGTTTCTGAATTTTGTTAATCTTGCTCCAATTTTCGTAGAATGTTTGCAGAGGCGTTCCTTTAGTTCTGATATTAGTTTCCCAAGCTACAATCATTTTCTCGTCGCTCAAGGAGAAGCTAATTTTGGCCCTTTCTCTTTCAATGAACCTCGAGTTTTCCTCGATCTTATCGACTAACTGACGCATCTTTTTTGTATAGTTTGACACTGAACATGTCTTCAAGAATTGTTTTATCTGAAACAATAAAATGATTTTCTTGGTAGTTTATATGTATTTATTAGGTTTCATAATAATATCATAAGAAAAAAGGTGTATCCATAATTCATAAAACCTACTTGGTGCTAACAAGGTGTAAGTACTTTAGCTTGTTTAAATATTCAAAATGAAATTGGACTAAACATACCTGCATCACAGCTAGCAGTGTTAAATCAGGGAAAGCAATTGTGTGTGATTCGTTTGCTGTATATTCTAACAGGAGTGCATACAGTCGCTCAATCACAGAGTCTTTGAACCCATTTTCCATCAGTTGTGACTTTGCCAGTCTCAGAATGCATGAAAAGTCTAGTGGCTTCATAGAAACCTTCTTATGTCTCTTATTAAAATCAAAACTGGTCAAAACCTGAAATTAATACATCATGTTAAATGCCAAATATTGTACAAATTCCTAACTATTACTGTCAATAAGGACAATAGTTACCTCAACAAGGAATGGTAATACGGGCACAAAGTTGTTGGACTCCTTTGATAGATTTATTAGAATCTCAACACAGTGGAACCTCAGAGGATAATATTGGTGGGTAGGCACAAGTTTAATAGTGTTGGTAGTGATCATCACTAAAGGATAGATCAAAGGTTGCAGTTGTGGCTTGTTTGATGTTGCCCCAAGCAAGTCTGCCCATAAATGTAATGAATTCACATATTGCCAGTTGTAAACAGCCTGTCTGTTCTCAATCTTTTGTACAACAATAGCATTTCTCAAGTGTATAGCCAGCTGGCGAATGTATAAGAACACATGTTGATATGAAACATTTAGATCCAATGAGAACATTTCCACAAGTGATCTCCTCATGAAATTAATGCCTGGCCAGGTGGAGGGGCTGACAAATTTACAATTTTTAACATAAGTCAAGTACATGGCCTTGAGAACTTGATCCAGTAATGCTGATTGTTGGTTCCTGGTTATCCTCAAAATGCAGAGGAAGGCTAACACTCTGACAGTTTCTTCACCAGTGCTCCAGAAAGATAGGAGCTTCTTTAGCGCTTGCTTGGCTATCCTAATGAAGCAAGCAACATACACAGACATCTGATGCAAATGTTTCAGTAACACTGTCAGAATATTCTCAGATGTGACACCTCCAAGCAATTTCAGCAAATCACTGAGGTAGGAAATCAAATGTGTTTTAATTTTAATGAAGTGTTTGCATTTCTGGGGGTCCTTGCCAGACTGTTCCATGCCCAGATATTTTCTTATTGCTCCAGGCAGATAGAGGACGCACATTTGTATTACAGCATTAAATACTGATGAACCTGTAAAAAACAAAAGAAACAAATTACCAATAAAGATATTAATAAAATATATTGTTAAGCTAACCTACAGCTATTGTCAGCTTGGATTTGGCAGGCACACAAACGGGCATGTGGTACGGACACTGGATTGTTCAATTTGTTCCAATACAGTTGAGTTACGCAGTGCTGGTATGTTTTGTTTGTAGGGCTAGTCAACTCTAAGTGTCTAAATATATTTACAAAAATATTATTTTCTTTTTACAATTATTTACCTAAATATTTGTTACTAAATATTTACCTAAATATTGTTGACAGTTACCATAGAAAAACTAGCTTAATAATGTTATAATCAATTTAATTATCAAACTAGTTCAACAAAAGGAACCATTGAGTTTCTCTTCTCTATAGGAATCCACACTTTGAATGGAGCAAATTTAAATTGACAATTTTAAATTTCTTATATTGAATATTTTGTAAATAGTAAATAGTGCCATTATTTGGCTAACTGAAATAAATTATTTGACTTAAAATCCAATATGTAATTATTATTTTAACTACTATCACAATTCAACTATAGTTCGTTCCATAATTAGAGACAATAATTTGACAACAACAAATGTCAAACTACAAAATAATGTAGCCAGATTTTTCAACATAGTGATGGGCCCGAGTACGATGTTTTAAATAAAATTCCGATACAGTTTTTTTATAAAATACCCTGAGCAAAATAAAACAATGTTGCAGTGATGTTTTTTATAGTTTAGTGGAATTAATAATAATAATTTAAAATAAAAATGCGAAATCCAAGACTGGCTAAAACAAAAACATTATATTTGAGGAACCTATGCTGAAAGCCGAGCTGTTGGAGATTTCCCGGAAAGAGAAGAGTAATTATGTACGATACCTCATGGACTGATGGCTGTTAAAAGGTGGGTTACTATTTTACGGTTGCCTCCTTACCATTGTGATTTTAACCCGACTGAGTTTGTATGGGCACAGGAAGGTACCAGGGAAAGTAGATAAAAATAATAAAGCTTTTAAAATGCACGAAGTCCAGAATTTAATTTCTGTCTTTCGGTCAATACCGGTCGCAGGACTTCACTATTTATGAAATGGAAAAAACTTGCAACTTTCGAAATGTCAAATTGTTGTCTCTAATTATGGAACGAACTATAATGACATAGAATTATAGTTTAGTGTGGTCTTGCAAACTTAATGTGAATTTCAGTTGAATATAGGATTTGCTCTAAAATTGCAAGATTGCAACATAAAATAATGTATATTACCTTCAACTTTATATTCTCCAGCTGAGGCTCCATCCTCACTGGTAGCCCTCAACATGGCAGCATTGAAAGCTTTTATGACAGTTGTTATTGTAGTCAGTTTTACTTTCACTTCATTTTGTAGTTCTGCCTGCCACTGAGCAACCATTTTAAGGGTGATTTTCCCTTGCACTGGTTTTGCATCTTCATCCTGTAGGTTTGACAAATTATAAAGTTTAATTCAAAGAATATTTAGATTTATTGGTTAAAACATTTTTAAATAACTAAAGCATTAAGTACCTCAAAGTCACTCTCATCACTGTCTCCTCTAAGTGGGCCTGGTTTATGAACTTTGTCACCATCATCATCATCATCATCCCCATCATCTTTGTCTGACGCATCATCGCCAGACTCCACATCGAAATTCAATAAATTTTCATCATTCTCCTCTAAGAAATTATAAAAATCTGGATCTGTCTTTTTTAGCTTCTCCAATGATTTCTTGTGAGTTTCGGCATCTAGTTCTTGATCTGAATCTAGTTCTTGTTCTGAATCTAGTTCTTCTTCTGAATCTACAACATAAAATATTATTTTACTCCGATAATAGTGATGGCGCATGGTTATAAAAGTTAATGCGTTAATTAGAGCGGACAATAATCGTACTTCCAAGACATTGACCGACCAGGAATCTGAATAATAAAATAGAAAATACTAGGAATCTATTATAGTACCAATAAAAGTACAGGGAATAAAATTTAAATGGCATGTGGAGTATTTTTATCAGTTACAACTGTTTCACCACAATTGAAGTTTTGTGAAATATATATTCATCATACATTCGTAGCACTAGACCATAATTAGCAACTTGCCTGAGTTTTCAGAAGATTCTTCTTTCACGGGTGCTTTGTTCTTTTTCATTGTGTTTATTCACATTAATTATACAAATTAAAAAATAAACTACATAAATTCCACGTGCTTTTCGGCGTGCATGGAATAAACAAATTACAGTAAGTCACTGTCAAACAGAATGTCATTTGATTTTGATGTATGACAACGAATGACGTATGTAGAGCTGTGCTCACCACTACTGTAGGTTCTAACTAGGCAGTTTTGTCAAAAACACTGCATTGGAGGTTGTCATGTAGGAAAAAAATTCCAACTAACCAAACAAAATTATTGATCTCAACCAAAGTCTGTGGAATAAAATCAATTTTTGAAAGAAACTTTATACATTATTTAAATAAATCTTAAAGTTCGATGGAGATTTGAAATCGGTTATTAATATCTGTTTATTTATCTTGTAACGTTACCATGATGTGTCAATACTTATAATATCTATAAGATTTGTGTTGTACTTTTGATTTATATTTATGTGTACCTGTGCCGTACCAGACGGTATATAGACAGCATGTGTGTAACCACCCTAAAACTGAAGTAGTTTAGTTTACAATTTTGACACAACTATACTCGGAATTTTAATTCCATTCCAGATTTGACAATTTCAGTGTTGCAACGTTATGACACGTAATAAATAGTGACGTTGCGAAATTATTCGATATGGAAATCGATTTTTTCTGAATCGATTCCTCTCGTTTATAAAACTCTCGTAAACTAAGTTTATCAGGAAATAAAATATTTCTGAACCGATAATTTACTTTTGACAATTAATTAACGATCTGAGACTTTTCTTTTGTAATTGTGTGTGAAATTAATAAAAAATGTGATCATGAAGGAAAGTGACAAATAAAACAGACATTTTATAAATTGTCGCCGTTATCGCTATCGCTATCGCCGTTACTCCATGTAACAATTATTATGAATTGTGTCTTTGATATTTATTGTCAATTAACATATCTAGTTTACTCATTTTTTCCTCTTCTTTGAAAACATGGAATAGACATTTAGACCATTCGGTAGCCGTAATTTTTTGAATGCCTTCCTGAAACTGTTTCACTGATTGTTTATCGATTTTTGTGTTCATCACTACATTGTTATATGTGGTATCATTATTTCACAAAATGACAATAGGTCATGTCAAATCAGGAATCGAATTAAAAGTCTGACTATAGGACTATATTGACATTTGACAGTTCCACAGAAAACAAATTCGTTCGAGAATTTTATAGAAACCTCAGAATTTGTCTCATCGATCATTGTCAGTGTATGTATTCAATTTCTTACAAAAACCGGTTCAAGAATTCCTATATTGATAATACTCTTTGGGTTAAAGACTGTATCAGAAACACAGTCACTGAAATCAGACGTAATATCATCAAAATATTTTTGGTTTTGACATTTCATTACAGAAAAATTGGCAGACATAAATAAAATTCGTGCTGAAAAAATGTGAGTATTACACGCTTTTCCAATTGATATTGTAGTTAAATTCAAATAATCCTTATTTTTATACGCTAGTGAATTTTTATAGTGTCTTGTCTAAATGTTTATTCCATATTATTCCAGATTGCATCATGTTGTCGCGTATGTGCGTAGCACGATCCGCCTTTAACGTAGGCCATACACTCAAATCACCAGTTCCTAGTAATTTTGTACCAAAGAATTATGTCGTGCGGAGCTATGCACGGGCACCAGGATCCCGTACCAGAGTTGCTTCTCAAACACAGGGTTCATCACTATGGGCACGACTGATGGCTCCAGCCGGACCTAATGGTAAATAAACATTATTTCTCCAAATGTACCTATATGTTAATAACCTTTTATGTTGATGTTATATCATTGTGCTCAACAAATTGATAGTAATTGCTGTTGATATAATATCAAGAATATACCTAATTTATTTTCTAGCATTCAGCATGGGAAAAGGAGCATTGGCTGGGGCATCAGCTGTTGGCTTGGGTGCACTTTGTTATTATGGTTCAGGAATTAAGCCTGGTGTGTGCACAGAAGCACAGTGAGTAACAATCATTTTATTAAAATTGTTTGGTTTTTACAGAAAAGTTTTATTAGAGAACTTACTATCTAAACAACTTATTTATTATAAAGTAACTATACTTTCATACTTGAATGAGAGTTAGGTATGAGATACTTGGTTGTCTGCCTTTTAACTCTTTCACAAATATATTTGGTTCGTGTACCCTGAGAGTATGTTAATTTCATTAAGTGCAACAGTACAACTTACTAAGAACTTAAAAATCTGACATATTGTTTCATCATCATTAACTTATCTCCATTCACTGCTGGACATAAGCCAGAATCATGTGTTGCAGTGCAAAAATAATGCACTACAAGCTTGAACATCTTGAGGAATGACTTATTACCCAATGAATTACTTTTAAACTGATTTGAGTAATCATAATTTTTAACCTTAACAACAGTCCATTTATCATTTTTATTAACATTTCAGCCTTTGGCCACAATATGTAAAAGATCGTATTAGAGCAACATATGGATACATTGCCGGTTCCATAGTACTAACTGCTGGTAGCGCCTACACAGTATTTAGAACACCTGCGCTATTGAACCTAGTTGCAAGGAATGGGTGGGTGGTAAGTGTATAAATATTTTCTTCAAATCTCTAATAAACTACTCTATACCTACTACGTACATATACTCTATCTACTCTGATAAAAGACAAGAGGGTAACCTCTTGTCTTTTGATATATGAGACATAATGGAAAATACATTGTGTCTTGCTTAGATATAGGTTCCCCTAAACCATGGATTAATTCCAATTAAATTGTAAAACCTAATCTTTATTTTATTTTTAAATTAAATTAATGTAACAATTAACTTTATTATATTACAGTCAATAATAGTAACTCTAGGCATGATGATTGGATCTGGCATGGTGGTACGAGGTATGGACTACACACCTGGGTTTGGTGCCAAACAATTAGCCTGGGTTGTACACACTGGTATCATGGGTGCTGTCATTGCACCTATGTGCTTCCTGGGTGGTGCTGCACTTACTCGTGCCGCTTGGTAAGATAATGTATAATTATGATGATATAATAAATACCTAAAAAAAGGAAGCCTCATATCAAATTATTATTTCTTTTCTTAATTTCGAATTTGTATTTGTTATTAACAGGTATACAGCTGGTGTTGTTGGTGGCCTAAGCACAGTTGCAATCTGTGCTCCATCTGGTGAATTTTTGAATATGCGGGCACCACTAGCTATGGGTCTAGGAGCTGTATTCGCTGCATCTCTGGCCAGCATGTTCGTTCCCCAGGCTACTGCACTTGGAGCAGGTATATTCTTACAAACTACAAAGGCCATATTAATTCATTCATAACTTTTTTATTTTACAAAGCCTAAGCATTTTTTATTTTTGTTTTGCTATGTATATTTTTACAACAACTAAATTGCTTTCAAATTTCAGGACTGTATTCTATCAGTTTGTATGGTGGTCTGATAGTATTCGGCGGGTTCCTGCTGTACGACACCCAAGCTATTGTGAAACGCGCTGAGGTTCACCCTATGTATGGATTACAACCCTACGACCCCATTAACTCGTAAGTACTTTTAAATCTCAGGATTATATATTGTTTTGAAATACCATTGTTTTGGAAGAAGTGAAGGAGATTTTTTTATCAAATTACTTATCAGTGCAATATCGACTATTTCTTATCCTATCATTAATATTTTGTTTTGCAATTATTATGTGCCATCAACAGTGTACACAAGTGGTTATTTAAATATTATTTAATTTAATATTTTATTTATTGTTACAGTGCTATTTCGGTATACCTTGACATCATAAACATCTTCATGCGAATTGCCATCATTGTGTCTGGAGGCGGCGGCAACAGGAGGAAGTAAAAAAATATGGGAACTGTCTAGAGCTTTCATATAATTTTTTGCTGTAAAAAAATCGAACAAAACAAAATTGTTGGTAGACAGCAGAAACTTTAGGGAGTCAATAAATATAATGTTGTTGACTGAAAAAAAAAAACAATGTGATATTATTGTTGTGTAGTCAGTAAGTTGGTGTATGTTTAATAAATTGACAAGTGGTCGATATTGGCTTTTTTTGTCCCCATGGTAATGTTCGATTCTTAAAATAACAATAAGAACTAACAACTATCAATTCAATGTAAGAAGGTACACGTTGTTTCAAAGGAATGAAATTGCACTAAAACTACTGATTACACAACAGATCTGAAGATTCCAAACTGTAGAAACAAACAATTATTTATTCAAATAATAGAATTCACAGTATTCAAAAACACTTGTATTTTATTTATTCCCTGAGTCACGGAAAAAAAGCAGTGCAGCTGTTGTTTTCTTGTAGATTACAATAAACATGACTACCAATTCGCCTTTCTTTTGACGGGGGAAAAAAGCAAATGATTCCTCTCGCCCAGGGAGGACCAAGAGGGAGTATCAGTCTTGCTAATTAATAACCACTCGTTGCCTTCGCCTGCTGCAGGCCAAGGCCGCAGTACATCATTGCGTTTGACCTAAAACACTGGCTGAAAAAAAGCCCTATTGGACCTTACATGTGGTAATGTAATAGTTCTTGAAGGCGCGCGCGGAATGAAGTGTTTTAGAGGCGCGTGCGTATGTAGTCGGCGGACGCAAGGGTCACCCTTGCGTCCGCCGACTACGCACCGACGATACGATACGACCCACGCTTGTGTTGTCCTACTGCGGCGGGTGGGGCGTGAGGAAGATATCTCCCTCACGCCCCACCCGCCGCAGACCTACTTCGAATGTTATGGTTTGTTTGGTTGGGCCAGTACTGAAACATTTTTGTAAGTTTCCTCCTCGCGTCCCAGCTGCTGTAGTAGGAGACGCTCTGGGCGTCGGGGATCGTGCAACAATGTCTGGCCACCACCGTAAGCATGGGTCTGCGGACGACTAGTAAGTGTAGCTCGCTGACCAGAACCAGACCCAAATGTACGGCGCGTAGCGCTCCGCTCGTCCCTCGAAGAGTCAGTAGGTCACCACCACATGTGATTATTATGATTTTCTTCTATAAAAAGACCACATCACCACATGTGCACGCTAGTCTTGTTACAGTTCAAGTGTTTTACAAAATAAAAGAAAAAATGGGGACGTAATCAACTGACTACTTTTTGATGAGCCATTTGCCAAGCCACTGCGCCGCTGCACTTCTTTTTAATGATAGTAGGTACTTACATACATTCTAAAATACTGTTTCGTTTTGTTTATTGCTATCAAATTGTCTTATCTTAAATATAATTTGACTTGACCACGACTATGTGACCCTCTGCTAGCACCAAAGCTGGATCAGCCCTGGTGACGGACGGTATCATAAAGGAGCACGGGTGGTTTGCGCACAGAAGTAAGTACGGCTCTTTAATTTTCATGCGTAGTTGGCTAATCTCTATTGTGATTGTTAGGTAGAAATCGATAGATATAAAAAAAGGAAAACAAGATTTTTTAACAGATTATTTATTTACATAACTAAATTGCAGAATTTACAATTGGTTATCGATTCAAGTGGAATATGCATTTGATTTTTTTGTCAATACAAATATAGATTGCATAGGCCTGCTAGCAAGCAATTGTTTCATGAGAATATAATTATGTAGGATTGAAAGTAGACTAGAATTCTGTCATAATAAATTCGATTATAAATAAGAAATGTAACAAAAATAATACCCTTTTAAATCTCTCACGTTTCACCCAATACAAATAAATAATACGCCTTGCGGAATGTGATTAAACATAAGACCACGATTATTATTAACATTAACAACGCAAAAGCTTAAGTTTATTGTCGTAAAGTACATAAGAAAAATAAAATATCACAATTATTTATTAAATAAAGGCTCTTTGGAATTATAATTAATATATTTAATACTAAAAACTACGGATTCAAGATAAGTATTGCTGCTCTTTCTATAATTATAAATGTCAGATGTATTCATATTAAATGCACACAATTTGGAAATTATTAGCTGTCAAAAATTATAGTTAATGTGATACATAGGTATTTTTTTTAAGTAATTATATGATACCCAGTAGTTTTCGTAAAGTAAATACCTGGAGTTAATTCGTCCTATGATTAAGATCGTTTAATGGTCCAACTTTAATATCGTTTAATAGTCATTCTACAAGAAGTTGGAGACGCGAATCAATGTTTAATTATCTTATTATACAGAAAATTGGGATTAAATAGTTCATTACTATCATTGTAATTCTTATTCTACTGGTGTTTTATTACGTACATAAATATAATAATTATAATAATGACCAAAAATATTATACCTTATGAGCAATAAAATTATTACACGAGATCTTTCCGTCCTTATATTAAGTAGTTATATCGCCAGTCTTATGTGCTTGCTGCTTCAAATAAATCGCATACATTTGTCGCGCCTGGTTCAGTACCCTGTTAACGTTGTGTTTACGAACCATTTTGTCAAAATGCATCGCCAGCTCGTTGTAATCCATGCGGTTCCTCATGATGTAGTCGCGGTGTTGTAGCAACACGGTCAAACAAAGGAACATCAGAAATGGATTTCCACCTCCGAACAGTGTCGGCGGTGGAAGGCTGCTGATGCTCGTCTTAGCTGAATTGTCACTCGACACTGATGAAATGCTGGCAGTTTTTTGCATCGGAGGTTTAAACACCTCGTATTTCTTTTGAAAGCTGTTTATAGTTGATGCAACACTGTGAAGGTTTGTTTGTTTGGCATTTAAGAGAGACTCGCAGTTCTTTTTTGCGTTTTCTAATTCTTGCGACATACTTGAGAAGAATTTCTGCGACCTTGACGTGTTTGGATTATTCGGTTGATTATTTTTTATTGTTTCTACGTTTATCGACTCACCGATGTCCTTTTCAGATTCCGAACCACTAGAGTGTGTATTAGAATGTTTAGTATCTCGATATACTTCTTGGGGCTCTAATGACTGATTTTTCCTTAGTAATCTTATTGGTGTGATGGATTTTTTACCAGAATGTTCTTCAAATATTTCCCCGGTATCTCCGTCGAAATCCAACTCCGCCTGTTCGTCAGGTGTCTGCGGGCAACTCGCTGTTGTTCGTGTCGTCGGCGTATTCCTATGTAACGGATTCTCCCATAAATAAATATCCTCAGCGCTCCTCGCATTAGATCTAACAGTTTCAAGCAATGGCGATTTCTTAGTGGTTTCTAATACTTGCGGTCGAGTTTCTGTGGTATCTCTTACTTTGAGATCTTGTTTTATCTCAGTACAATCGTGTGTTGGTTTGTCGTCTGTGCTAGTGGAGTCTGAAGGAGAGTCATACATCATGCTACATCTGTTAATGTACGAAGGGCCAAATACTTGTCTGTCCAAATGTTCTAATTCAAGTCTTAATTCTCTAGTCATAGACGTTGTCATGGGGTAATATTCTTGTGAATCATCAGGACTGCTGCCGTCGTTAGCGTCTGAATAAATATTCTTATTCATTTTGTTACTTTTATCAGTTTTCGAATGGTGCACCCTCACATCATCGAGCGATGTTTTAGTGAGAGTTATCCTTGGACAGTCCTTGGAGCTCCGCTCTATAACAGAGTGAGTTCTTTGCAACTTCTCCTGTGTAACCGCACCTACCTTGCTACCTGTCGCAAAGTTAAGGAATTCGTTTAGATTTTTAATCATTTTTACTTTCGGTTTGCTAGATGACTCTATGCTAACAGATTCAGAGTCAAGTTTGTCAAGTGAAGAGAAGAATTTGTTATTATGTACGGATATCTTATCGCGCAGTAATCGTATTTGGTTGCCTAGAGGAGTATCCTTCACGTCTCCGTGTGATGTTCCGTTCATTAAGTTCCCAGTGCTGCACCACGCGGTTGCGTGAGCGTCTTGTGCTGACGGAGTTTTCTCATGTTCTGGAACACTCTTCATACTCCTCCTAGTCTGAACTTTATTTGATTCTTTTGGCGATAAACTATTTTCTTTATTTTTCTCAGCGTCGTATCTATCTAACTTCGGTTTCTGCGCCTGTAGAGTAGCGTCATCTAGACTTTGGAATTCTTTCGCGTGTTTTAATGAAGAATTAGTCACAACTTTTCGTGTGGCGTTCTCGTCTAAGCTGTGGTTCATTTGCTTACAGGTGGCTAGTTTCGGTGCTTTAACGTTGGCGAGGCTGAAGCTTGAGCTCTGTCGTCTAATGGCGCACACTTTGGTGTATGCATTCTCTCGGGGAGCTTTTATCAAGGGACTTAGAGGAGGCGGATCATCGTCTATCTCGATAGCAGGGTCAAATTCTTTTTCCTTAAGAGATAAATCGGTTATTGGAGTCTTTTGAGGTAGCGATGCCCATAAGACTTCGAGCATTCTTAGAGCATCGTCAAAGGCGAATTCTCGTTTCATTTCTAAGAGTAACCAGCGATAGCAGAATAGTAAGTCGTCAGCTTGTTGAGATTTCAGATAGTTGTAGAAGTCGGGGTCGTAGACTTGCAGCGATTCGGTCAGGTGTGAGAATTTTAAGGTCATGGCCTCTCCATCTAGTAGGAAGTTGGGGTACAGGCGGGTCATGAGTGCACACAGGCATATGTAGGCGTGTGCTTCGTCCCCCATTGTGACGAGCAATGGTGATGCTAGGTCGGACATACCTTGACAGTAGCTTACTGTAGGGTGGTTCAGGGCGTACCTGGCGAGACAAAAAGCGAATGTTAAATAAGTCACGCATGGCAAAAAAAAAAAATTTTTGTGTTCATAATATATTATTGAAGTCTGTTATTCAATAAACAGCTTACGTAGTAAGTATATTAAAGAGTGAAGCAATATTTTGGTTGTCATCACTCCCGGCGTAAAAGTTGTGATGTCTGTCCGTCCGTAACACGTCTTTGCGAACCATTCCAGTCACGTAAGCTAAGTCAGCATTTACCTGGAAATAACCATAGTTGATTAATATTTGGAAAATTAATATGTAAAAGAGGTATATTTCTATTGTATTTTTTAAGTTTTTAGATTTTTCGATGCGATTACTTACTGAATGAATCAGAATAAAAAATACTGTTGTGGTCTGTCAGTGGAATGGTATAAATCTTGAACTATCCTTGGTATGTTTTGTTATCAAATAGTACTACCAATACCTAGTATTAAAATTTAACATATTGATAAACTAATATAAATTATGATTGGCTATTGATACCCACCATCCCTTTTTGTATACAGTCTTTCCACTTTGCTCTGAGTCCATAATATTCATTTGCTTTTCTTTTGATATAGTCCATTCTTTCTTTGCCTGTCATGCCATCGGGGTATACATTGAGAATGTGCTTCCATACAACTTTTCTAAAACAAAACATACATTAAAATTAACAAAAAAATCTAGAAAACCCACATTTTTACAAAAGGGTTACATAAAAATGTTGTTAGAATTAGTCATATAATCAGTATTAAAAACATTAAAAGTAAAGACAAACTAGGAAAATTGGAGGAATAGTCTACTAATTTTAAGTCATACCGGGACTTAATTAAACATAACACGAATTGTTAAATGATCTGAGAGCTTCACTAAGAGGACTGACCGACAAACTGACACTTTGTATCTTTAAAGTTGTGTTGACGTTCAAAAGTGCCTGTATGGGTCTAATTGAAATAAATGATTTTGACTTTGACTTTGACTTTTGACTTTGATCACACCTATGACAGTAATTATGATTGCTAGAAAACTTTATGCTACATATTATATTATTTTCTCTTATAGATGTATATGAGGTTACATAAATATGTATAGGTAAAACAATTCAATTTCACTAGAAAGAATTAATAAAGCCTTATAATTTGCCATGCCTGACAAGGTCCTATTGATCTAAATGCGTATGTACACATGGCAATAAATGTTTCACTTTCAAATAATTAAATAGTAGTATTTAGTTATTTGAAAGTGAAACCTATACTTATAGTGGATACAGTGTTAAGAACTATAGATACTAACCTTAAGCTAGGATCAATACCACCACAGTATATCACTTCTCTCAGTTTCGAGGTGTTAGTTATTTGTCCCACTGCATCCAAGAACGCTCTGAACTCAATGTCACTGAGTGGCGGCCGCGGCGCGTTGTTAGGGTCGTCATATAAGTTCAGAGCTCTTGTCACCATGTTGAATGTTTTTTCAACCTATTAATTAAAGTATATATGTTGTTGAATTACAATGCTAGCTGCATTACTGAGATTACAATAGATGTAGATGTTGTTGATATATTTAATATGTTTTGTTACATACTATTGTATAAAATATAATAAATTGATATTGTGATTTATAAAGTGTTAATAGACACAAGAATATAATAACATGTCACATGATACAAATTAATTGTTTTGGGGTTTGGATTCCTGCCCTGAACTACTCTCTATGTCATCCACAAATTGTTGTTTCAGGTCCGGGTATGATGTGATGTGTATGGTGTGACACACCCAAAACACAAGAGAAAAGCTAGGGCAACATTTTTTTTAATATTAACATAATATGGTATTATGCTGTATGCACAAAAAATATTATTTCATAGTAATCCATTTAAGGGGTTGAAATAAATATTTCAATTAGAGATTGCATGTTTGGTGCGGTGGCTAGGCAACTGGCTGCCGTGCAACGTGTCGCGGGTTCGATTCCCGCACGGAACAACTGCTTGTGTGATCCACAAATTGTTGTTCCAGGTCTGGGTGTCATGTGTATGTGCAATTGTATGTTTGTAACCGCACCCGCGACACAGGAGAAAATCCTAATGTTGTATGCAACATTTAAAAAAAATAAAAAATAAATACAAATAATAAACTTGATGATTTAGGGTTTTAAATTAAATTCTACTTTTAACAAGCATTTTTAGTTATTTACAAATAAATGCCCTTGATATAACAGTAGATATCAGTCAGGATATACAACATTATCATCCATCCTCTTTTAAGTGTGATTTTATTAGAAGTATATAACTACATTTAATATGATATTAACAAGCCAGTGAAAAATATTTTAGTTCCACTTCAGTATTACTTTATAGATACAAATAAATAATAATTTCACCTATTATTTATTTAATTGTTTAAATTGTTGATTTTTCAATTAAATTAAAATTATGGCTGATTTTTCAATAGTAACATAAAAGTTACCTGGGGAATAATTATGATGTTGTCGCGTCACAATGTTTGTATAAGACAGTGACAGCAACAATTTTATTCCTCAGAAAAAAATTATCTGACTATTAAAAATCCGTCCTTACTGTATCTTTAGCAATATTAAAATATATACCTGGTTCATTATCATTCCTTGGAATCCTGTCTGTGTTTCTTGTTTCTCAGTCTGATGCTGTGCTGGAGCTATGGTAGGTTGTTCCTTGTAACTCTGGTTCACCATTGGAGCAGCTGGACTTACACTTGGAGGCTCCCAGTCCTCCGATGCCTCGGCAAAAGGTCTCATATCCACTCTTAGCTGCACACATGGCTCAGATTTTTGAGTCAGAGCTATATTATGTGCCCTGCAATGAATTGAATATTTTAATACAAGGTTTATGCCCATAAGTATTATTATTTTTTTACAAAAATTTAACCTTTTAATTGTGGTAATTAGATACGCAATATTAAGTCATTAGGTGTGCAGACAGGGGCAGAATTGTATCAATCTGTTGTTAGTAATGTTTTGGTATTTGAAGTATTTTTAACAGTATAACTATTAATTATTTTATAAGACTTACTTAAGAAAAGCAGCATCCAAGTCCCAGTCAGAGAGAAGTGGCAAATAAATCTCCTGGCCATAGTCATCTGTTGTTCTAAAGGATAGTGTGAAATCTGACTTAATATCAAATGCTTTCACAAGTATACTTTGTAGCACTTCCAAGGATGTTATTTGCGGATCAACAGAGAACTTCCTCAGTTCGGGCTGAAGCTTACCCTCGCATTTCTGTAAGAATAAAAATTAAATATTATTGGAGAAACTAAAATGTATAAGTATGTCAAATATTTAAAATTTAGAGCAAATCTTAACCAACAGACGGAAAAACAATTCCATAAGGACTTTCATAATTTTGTTCCAAACAATGGTTTTTCTGACATACTTTTACTAATAGAATTTCCAAATATTGATTACTAATACTCAGGTTACTAGGTACTTAGGACTTGTGAATACAGTAAATTATGTTTAAACAGTTGCATTTTAACTACAAACCAAATTAAATTAAACAGATGTACACTTTTAATTTATAAAAATGCAATTGATCAACACAATACAAACCTTGACTTTCACTCTTACTGCTTCTTTACTGTAGCCAAACATGATTTCACATTACCTTATTGTGAAAGCGAAGAATATAATTACGAAATGCTGCAATAATCGTGTAACATCGTAAAGAGAAATACACAAAACTTTAATAATTCTAAACTAAAACACTTTTTTACAAAAAAGTATCATATCGACAAATTTGACATGAGTGGCATTTACATTGGATGATTTGACATTTAAAACCATAGATACTATTTTTAAAGTTTGAGAGATCGCTTGTTCAATCGACTAAAAATATTATCAGTTGAATAATTGCATCAATAGAACTTAGTATTTACATAATTATATACTGTTTGGTATTTCAGCTGATTTATTTTCTTGCAACTTTCAAGACAGTCATTTATTCTTCCTCGCCAGAATTGAGTGTTTCTGTGTTTTCATGGCTGTATCTACCTTAAATCCTGACTGAATGAGTTGCAGTGGTACTGGGCGGTTTGTTTATGGATAGTCACATTTGCACCAAGTGGTTACATAGGTACCTACTCTTTGATTTGCACTGCTGAATTTTTCTGCATTTTCTGTACCTAGATTTCTCCGTCAAGTGTCAATTTGTGATCAACTGTCAAGTTTTTTATGTCATTCTTATCGTGTCGCATCATTTTCGTGTTTGCGACGATAAAGGTTACTTAACAAAAGAAACAAAATTAATTTAAGGACTAAAAACTAAGATATTTAACATGACTACTCCTACTCCCGCCCCCCATATAGACCGTGAGTTGGATTTGTCTAACACAGGGAGAGGAGTTTGGCTCGTAAAAGTTCCAAAATATATAGCTAATAAATGGGAGAAAGCACCAGGAAATATTGAAGTGGGCAAGTTGAAGATCTCACGAGCACCGGGACAGAGGGCTCAAGTGCAATTGTCGTTATCTGAAGCTGTACTTTGCCTTAAAGAGCCTGGAGAACAAAACATACCTAAGGAACATCGTCTTGACGTGTCTAATGTTACAAGGCAGTCTCTAGGAGTATTTTCTCATGCCATACGTATGTATTGATATATTAATATTGTTAATTATTTTTGTGTTCTTTTAAAACAACTGAACCTAACGATAATATTGCTTTTAGCCTCAAACACTGATGCTGTTATACCAGAGTCAGAGAAACTTTATATGGAAGGGAGAATTGTACAAAAATTAGAATGTAGGCCATATGCTGACAATACATACTACAAGTTAAAATCAGAGTCTATTAGGAAGGCATCAATGCCACAGCGGCAAGTTCAACAATTGGACAGGATAGTACAGAACTTCAAGCCGGTTTCAGACCACAAGCATAATGTAAGTAAAACTTGTTACTCTATCTTATGATGAGAAATGTGTCAATTAAACTTTCAGAAAATAAGCTTAAACAGCAAAAGTTCCATTATACAATTGAAAATTATTACACATCTACTTCAGTTAATCTCTAGAATATTGCAATAATTTGCACACCTTACTTTAACATTTTGACTTTTTACAACCTTCATATATTGCTTAATGATATGTATCAGTCATGTTCTTATCAGTATGAGCAGTAAGACTATTCATTAATTATTGATACTCAGTACTTGCTTGCTTGAGGTAGTACTCACTTGTCTCTGCACCTTTTATTTTCATTGTAAATAAATATATTAACATGGCATCTCATCCTAAAAGAGCTTATGTATGTTGTAACCTTCCTTTGAAAACAAATGTAAGCAATTTCTTACTTCATTATTTATCTAGACTTTTCTATTAATTTTAAAACACTTAATTTTAAAAAATAAATTGTAATGTCGTGCATTGACTATGCATATACTCAATCAATAACTTTTACAGATTGATTACATAAAGAAGAAGTCGGCTGAAGGAAAGAAAGCCAGGGATGATAAGGATGCAGTTCTCAACATGCTGTTTGCAGCATTTGAAAAACATCAGTATTACAACATTAAGGACTTGCAAAAGGTATGCTCATTCCTTATTATTTAACTTAAAAATAATACAGTATTTTGTTTTAAAGTACTTATGTATTATTTGAATTGTGAATTTTTCTGTGATATGTGTAAAGTAGATTTTTTGTGACTTACTGAGGAAATAGTGTTGATGCTATATTAACATGCATTTTACTATATTTTCGTTTTTTAATAATATTCAATATATTCCATTCCATCTATTGATCTCGGATCAATATTTTATTGACCTGAGTAATTTGATTATAGAAACTCTTTGTAGCATTTTAGTATTTACATTACAATTATGTGTAAAAATTTCTATTAATGCATTTCCCATTTTACTTATCATTCTGAAAATAGTAATTTAAAACATGTTCTGTCTTGTTCATTTTTTATCTGTTATCTAAAAGATTACCTTACAACAACAAAACAAGTAAGTTTGCAGATTAAAAAATATTTCCCTTCTGTTTACAGATCACAAGGCAACCTATTGTATATCTAAAAGAGATATTAAAAGAAGTATGTAATTATAACTTGAAGAATCCACATAAAAACATGTGGGAATTGAAGCCTGAATACCGCCATTACAAGATGGAACAGGCTGCAGAAGCTAAAGAAGAAAAGAATAGTTCTGACAGTGATTAGACTGAGGTTTAAATATACAAAATTGTTAAACCATTTGTTTTCATACTTGCAATATCTATTTCATTTCTTAAAATAATTCTTATCTGTGTGTTGACATGTTATCCAACATAAATTGAATAATATATACATGTAGTATAGTAAATTATTATTTTGTCTGTATGTGTGTCAACCTTCTTGATGTCTTTCTAAGTCTATACCATCCATTTAATGATTTCTTATGAAATTGAAATGCATTGCATGTGTTATATATTTTTTGACCTATAAATGGTTTTATACTAAAATAAATGGCGAGACAATGTATGTATGTTACCAACGTTATGTGATAAACTTGTAGTTATGTCTCCTAAAAACCTCTGTTTTGAGTGTGTTACGGACAAACTATTAAAGTGTACATAACTTTTATGAGACTGTATATATTCTGATAGTTATAAGAATGATTAAAATAAATAATTTCGTAAAGAATCTGTGTTTTTTCTAAATGTCACAAATGAAACAATCAATTGCTTTGCTTCAAGTTTAATAACATTTAAAAATTGACGATGCTAATAATATTTGTAAAGAATACATCGATTTAAAATATAATATTTAAGTTTGTAAACATAATTTCTAATAAATATTTTAATTTAGGTATATAATTATAAGGAGTATTAAATACCAATAAAAATGCAATTTCGTCCAACATGGATAGCTTCAGTCGAGAGATTAGAAAATTGGGAGTCGTATTATAATCGTAGTAGTTAGTTGACCACGTCGTACTTGGATTTCTTGATGTAACTGGCGAGGAAACACGAGAGAAATGTTCCGATGAGCGGTAGCAGTGCGGTGCCGATGGCGACACCTACCACTAGGTCGATGTTGTTTTCCAAGTATTCAGAGATCACCGCGTAACAACCCTGACGTATAAAGTACAATCATTAGATACATAAGATACCTAGATAGGTATCTGTATATATGTATAGGGAACAACATTATCAAGTATCAAGCATACATGTAGTGTTATTTACGTATACCCAAGTAGTTATATTCAACTAGGTACCCACTGGTATAATAATTGAATCGTCAAAAGTCAACAAATGCAAGATTTTCCTGTTCGTGGGAAAAGGTCTTTGGCCTGATAGTGAGACAGTTATTGGCCCGTCGCGGTATGGTAATACGCTTAAACTTATAAAAGGTTTAAAATCTCAGTGCCGTAATCGTGACGTTATTGTGAGGACTTACATCCGGGCCCGATTGATGCAATAGTATGGTAGGTAGCTGCTATAAGTAGGTACAATAGGGATTTAATAAAGTAAAGAAACAGCTGAATGTGCTTAAAAATAGGTTTCACCTGTCACAAACGCATGTAGGTAGAATTGATATAACGTCAATTAGGTAAACACCAGTATTGTTCAAACTAAATCTTAGAATTTTCTTACACCTGCAATATTTTTTTTTTATTAGGTATCTATAAAAGCAATCAACATTTTTCAGTAAATCCCCTTAAAATATTGGTTGACAAGCTTATCCACCTAGCACACCGCTGTGCACCAAGAAGTCTACGCCCATTTGAAAATACTTACTCGTTGGAAGACGTCGCTATAATTAGCCGTGATACAGTCGTCCGGGTCGAGACAGCACGAGATAGGAATCACCTTCTGTGGTGACAGTCTTATCCAGTCAGTGTAGTTAGATACGCCACAGCACCGCAACTGTAAAGCACGCATGGGGTGGTTAACGCACTAGCGACAAGAGACAATTAACTAAGGATTAGAGGGCGTTAACCGTGCTTTGTTACCTAAGTTCATAAATGTTAGTAGAACAGGCTGTAACCGAATGAGATAGGTAGTCATCACCAATGATGTAAAAAACGTCTTTGTTCACCACAATTATTCCATTAACAGTATTTGGTCAAAGTAATAAAAATAGGGGTTTTAGATAAAAAAAAACTCAATGTTCTTAAGCTAGTGGGACTTCCCAGTTAATATATTTTGATGATTGAGGGTCAGGGCGGGAGTACCTAACCTTGGCCTCAAATGGACCCATTTATAAATTGTCAAATGTATCGACCTATATATATTGTCGAATGTATATTCGTATTAAACTGAGGAACCCTATCCTCGTAAGTAGGTACTTCATGTCTGGTCTTGTCCTAATCCGCATTTACTACCTACTTAGATACCCACAATGCAAGGACAAAGTAAATTTAAATCTAGACATATTTAGACACTATATAGGTAGATGTATGAATTTCGCATAAGAATAAAAACAAGTTGAAACCTGTCTATAAAATAACACCACTAGGGCGATTAGATGTTGATATTTGATAAAGTAAAATTAAAAATAAGTAATAATATCTACCGACTCACATTTTTCTGTGCGAAATCGAAATTGGCTTTGTGGGGATAGTTATTGGTTATAGTCTGGGTGAGACCGTCACGAAGACTTTTGGCGAAGGTGTCCCGGTAACATGCTGCTGCAGCCCCCACTCCAGCATCCATCATAAAGATACAGGCCAAGAAACCACCGTACTGTAAAAATGTAAGGAGGTGAGTATACATAGTCGTAGGTTTAAAGGTACAAAATAAAAGAAGTTTCTGGGGTTCTGTAAGTTCAGGATAACAAAAAAGAGTACTAACTAGCTCCACTTACGATGTATAGCAATACAGGCTGGCCCTTGATGATGCAAGAGAAGGCTATCGAGCTGACAAGCACGATGAGGCAAGCGATACCGATGAGTACGTGAGGAGCTGTCCCAGAGAATTCAGGGGATAGTTCCATGTACTTGTGAAGGTCAAACTCAGCCCATAATCCCACCAGCAACAGTAGCAGACCTGTGAACTGAGATGCATGTTTTTACAACCAACACTGGACCAATTAAATATTTCATGCACGTTCTGATTTCACTTTGGATTTCTATCACCGAAGGTACTTAGGCAAGTACAAACAATTCTCAAATTTCTAAAATCGGTGATGCAAGTATTCGAAAATTAAGTTGGTACTTAAGTTGGTTAAGAAACTTATAGGTATCCGGAACCATATGGAAATAATTCAAATAGTTTCATTCTGGAATGGAATCAATTAAATAAAATTAAATGGCAAAGTAGTTGTTTAGCCTAAGGCAACTGGATAATCTTTATATGAAAATTAAAAAAAACAATAAGTTTTTTATGGCTACTCATGAGGATAAGATGTTAACAGCTGGAAGTTTAAGAATATTTATTACAAAAGTGCTGAACCAAGGAGGAGGTATCTACTACACGATAAGTTAAATATTTAATACTACCTACTTGATTGCACAGATTTTGTATTCAGGATGTACATAATTGCTATCAAAACAAAAATATTGAGCAAATAAATTATGATTTACAACTTACCCAAAACACGACGTTGAAAACAAAAAGAAATGTTTTTAAGCAGGCTATCATGGCCACGTTTTTGAATTGGTTTCCCATTTTTTAAATATATTTGAGCATTTAATTCAGAATTTCGCTACTGTTTGTTTATCCATATGTTTGTGCTAGGCGTCTTGAGGAACATTGAATGTCACAGGGGCCGAGGGTTTTACGCATGCGCAAAATAATCGGCGTCTCTCACCCGGGCCTTTTAGAAAAGATCTATGCTAAGTAGCTACATGTTAGTTTCATACAGAAACTACGACTAGGTTGTGAATTACGATGTTTGAATTGTATCATCTTCCGCGTTGTTATGCATAGATACCTATACTTACATACCTATATTACCAAGTAGGTTATTCTAGCGGTAGCATCTAACAAATGCCTTGAAAATAAGAAGATAAAGATTTAAGTTTAACAATAACTAAAAAGTTCCATAAACATGACCCGGACCGTCATCGATAAACGTTTATTTAAAGACGGCATTGACAAATTACCGCAGCTTCAATAGAGCTTTCACTTTCTTATAGCGTCCGTAAATTTCTTAGAATTAGTGCACAAGTCCAGATTATTTTTCAGTCTATATCATAGATGCTGCTTTGAACTTCAAATCCTTTCAAGCACGGAGGTCGCGAGTAACTGTGCCCATCCAAAAGCGTAGCCTGTCTCAGCGTTATTATTGGTTAGTCGCTCGGTGGCCACTGCAGCGCAAACGCATGTACGTTCATAGCGCCGGCGCCCGCGCATCCGCGAGAGCATTCACGTAAACGCGTACTTTTTCGCAGTCCTTATTTTTTATTAATGTGTCGCTATACATTTTTAATAAGGTCATGATGGTTTCCCGAACGTATTTATTTTTCATTGGTATAATTTTTCGGATTAATTTTGTGTGTCCTATCGCTGAAATTGATGAAAATGAAGGTGAGATAAGTTCCCGCTATGTTTTTGTAAGATTTAGCGTAAAATGAACCTAGTCGCCTAAAAAAAACAGTAACATGTAGCGAAAAACAATTCTGCTTCCTTTTGGATTTTAAATAACATTAACGAACGTCGATCATTGTATTGGGATAATGTCTCATAATAAATTCGCATACTTATAATAAAAAAAGTAAGTTAGGTTCTTCGTTAGTGCCCATTGATGCACAATTGAATAATAAAAAAGTATAAATGAAATAATAAAGTCTGTTTCTTATAGATATCTACTCGTCACCTATTAATGAACATTAGTTTCTAACTAGGTACTAGGTAGAGAATTCGCAGAAAACAGATTCACTGAAAGATGTATGAAATGCGTAAGAAAATAAGAAACACCGAAAAATTTAACATTTTTCTTTTTTTTCGGTTTGTCTCGTTTCAGTCATTTCGGCCAGTGCTCAGCTTAATACTGTAGTCCGCGCACGTAGGCTCCAGACCACGCGTTGATTTTGAGCACAAGGTATCAAAAAATTCAAAATATTAAACCTAATTTAATAAACACACCATATATATTTAGAATTAAAATAATAATATAATTAGAAATAAACGTGATTATTTTATGTATTAAGGTTACCTACTAATTTATAAATGATTTTAATCATTATTCAACGTATTTTTTTAACGTTGCCTTGTACTACCGCTCTCCCTTTTTAACTGACTTAATTCGTAGGTAGGTGCGTTTACAAAGAATACGTAGGTACTAGAAGCGACAATTAAATGTCCAAAACGTTTCGTAGCAGCCGGTTGCGCAGTCAATGCACAAACGTCGACATTGGTTTTGGTAACAATATTCACTACTATTGAAAAAAACATTTTTTATGAAGAACTAGCACCCCAAACGATGACATGAAGTTAGTTAGGAATTTTATTAAGCAATTAAATAAATTACTGTTCCTAAGAATATTTTTCGCGTGCGTGTCGTCCAAGCGTCCATTGTATGCTCTGGATAGCAGATGGACCAATATGGAGAACAATTCGATCAGAAAACAAAATTGTACATACATGAAATTGAATTTCTTTCTTTATAATATAAAAACTGCTCCGTGTGGGATCCGTACTTGGAACATAATATATCTACTGTGAAGTAGATGAGCTGGTCGCCCAACCGCTAAACTA